ATTTTTTTTAATTTCACATTTTTCGATTTTTCGAATTTTTTGGTTCTCAATTTCTTGGTTTCTCATTGTTTAAAATTTTTTAATTTCTGAATGCTTAAAATTTTACATTTTTCAATTTTTTAATTTTCCGAATTTCCAAATTTTCGATTTTTCAATTTTTCGACTTTTCGGCTTCTCAATTTTCCGATTTTGCAATTATTCGATTTCCCAGTTTTTCTAGATTTCAGTTTTGGAATTTTTCTATTTCTCAGTTTTTAGAATTTACGATTCTCCAATTTATCGATTTTTTTTGTTTTTTTTATTTCTTTAAGTACGTGGAGTTTTCAATTTTTCGATTTTACAATTTTTTAATTTTTGAATATTTCAATTTTTGGAATTTTTTGTTTCTAGGCTTGTCCTCGGTTTCTCAATGTTTAAAAATTTTAGATTTCCCAATTTTCCAATTTTTCGAATTTCTCATTTTTCGATTTTCCAATTTTTCGATACCAGTATTTGTTTTATTTAAATCGTTGAAATTTTTCGATTTTGCAATTTTTTTAATGTCACATTTTTCGGTTTTTCGAATTTTTTGGTTCTCAACTTCTGGGTTTCTCAATGTTTAAAATTTTTAGATTTCTAAATGCTTCCAATTATAAATTTTTCGATTTTTTATTTTTCGAATTTCCGAATTTTCGATGTTTCGATTTTTCAATTTCTCAGTTTTCCAGTTTTTTGACTATTCGGCTTTTCAATTTTCTTATTTTCAATTATTCGATTTCCCAGTTTTTCTAGATTTCAGTTTTGGAATATTTCTATTTCTCAGTTTTTAGAATTTTCGATTCTTCAATTTATCGATTTTTTTTTATTTCTTTAAGTAGAAGTACGTAGATTTTTCAATTTTTCGAATTTACGATTTTTTAATTTTTGAATATTTCTATTTTTCGAATTTTTTGTTTCTAGATTTTTCTTCGGTTTCTCAATGTTTAAAATTTTTAGATTTCCCAATTTTTCAATTTTTCGAATTTCCCATTTTTCGATTTTTCGATTTTCCAATTTTTCGATGTCTGAATTTTTCTAGATTTCAACATTTGTTTTATTTGAATTGTTGCAATTTTTCGATTTTACGATTTTTTAACTGTTTGAATATTTCAATTTTTCGAATTTTCTGTTTCTAGACTTCTCCTCGGTTTCTCAATGTTTAAAATTTTTAGATTTCCCAATTTTCCAATTTTTCGAATTTCGCATTTTTCGATTTCACGATCTTTTGATGTTTCAGTTTTTCAATCTTGTACTGATGTTTCAATTCTCCTAAACATCGAAATGTTTCGATTTTTCGGTTTCTGAATTGTTTCCGTTTTTAGATTTTTCAATTTTTACTTCCCGAGCGTAAGCAAAGGAAGTATTGTAATCGAGTCCGTCGGCCGACTCTCTACTTTTACGTTTTCTCGATCTTTCATGACCCCTAGAAGACGAAGAAATAGGTCTCCCATTTCCGTCTGTCTGTCCGTCTGTCCGTCTGTCCGTCTGTCCGTCTGTCCGTCTGTCCGTCTGTCCGTCTGTCCGTCTGTCCGTCCGTCTGTCCGTCTGTCCGTCTGTCCGTCTGTCCGTCTGTTGTCACGGATTTTTATTAGACAGATAATCTCCGAAAGTACTCGACCGATTGTTGTGAAATTTTGTACTTATATTAAGAATATCATGTAGATGGTAAAACGCTAACCAAAATTTGTCGAATCATCCCCACCACTAAAGCGATGACGTCACTTCAAAATTGTACATAGTAAATGGGTTTTCAATTGTATAAAATAACATAGTCCTACACATGTAGTTTACAACTCTGAATCGACTTTTCACCCGAAACGTCCAGATTTTTGGAAAAAAAATCAAAATTATAAAACAACATTTTGAAATTTAATTTTTAATCTGCTAACCAGAATGCTTTGAAATCTTGCAGATGTTTTAAGGCTATAAAGAGCATCATAAATCTTTAGTCAAAAAATATTTGCTTATCCCCTCCAAAAACTTGATGACGTCAGCTCAAAAGTTTGTGGAATAAATCATATCTAAAATGTACAAAATATGATGAGTCTGTACTTGTGAACTATCACTCCATTCATATTTTTTGGATTTGCATATACAGGGTGACTCAAAAAAATTAATGAATGCGTAAATATATTTTATTGATTTAATCAGGAACTACAAAACCGAATGCTCTGAAATCTTGCAGATGTTTTAAGGTCATAAAGAGCATAATAAATGTTTAGTCAAAATATATTTGCTTATCCCCTCCAAAAACTTGATGACGTCAGCTCGAAAGTTTGCCGAATAAATCATTTCTAAAATGTACAAAATATGATGAGCCTGTACTTGTCATTTATCACTCCATTCATATTTTTTGGATTTGCATATACAGAGTGACTCAAAAAAATTAATGAATGCGTAAATTTATTTTATTGATTTAATCAGGAACTACAAAACCGAATGCTTTGAAATCTTGCAGATGTTTTAAGGTTATAAAGAGCATAATAAATTTTTAGTCAAAATATATTTGGTTATCTTCTACAAAAAACTGATGACGTCAGCTCAAAAGTTTTCCGAATAAATCGTATCTAAAATGTACAAAATATGATGAGTCTGTACTTGTGATTTATCATTCCATTCATATTTTTGGATTTGCATATGCAGGGTGACTCAAAAAAATTAATGAAGGCGTGAATTTATTTTATCGATTTAATCAGGAATTACAAAACCGAATGCTTTGAAATCTTGGGAATATTTTAAAGTTATTATAAGCATGGTAAACTTTTGTTCAAAATGTATTTGTTCATCCCTCCTAAAAAAATTGATGACGTCACCCTTAAATTTTGCTGAATAAATCCTATCTAAAATGCAAAAAATACGATGAGTTTGTACTTGTGATTTATCATTCCATTCATATTTTTTAGATTTTCTTAAGAGGTGGTTCAAAAAAATTAATGAAGTCAATTTATTTTATTGATTAAATTAAAGGCAACACTTATTATTAGTATTACACCCCAACCAACCCAATTTGGTAGACACAAAATTTGTTAAAGGAAAAACTCGGTTGAAACATAAGGGTAGCACGCTTATTTACATCGACTTTAACATTACAGACCTGCATTTGTTTTATGCGTTCACTTGATTCCGCGAATGTGAAATAGACATGTTTATAATCAACCAATTGTGAATTTCACCGTCAAGAATTAAAATAAAACCCAATGTTTTATATAATAAGCGGAAGTCGAAGCAATAAAACTGACGGTCGTTTTGTTTACAGTTTCTGTGTTTGGCTCTCACGTATGCTGTTACGCCTGTCATCTTAAATTAACAATGTTTATACATACACGATTTTCAGTTGCCTCTGATACGTAGGTATACGTGAGTAAATTGTTTCGTTATTTTATTGATTATTACAAATCAATATTCAAACGACCCAATTCATTTTCCCGAAAATTTGAGAATATAATAATTTTATTCTTAGTATTACACTACATCTATCCCAACTGATATACGTGTCCTTGCAAAAATGTTGATGACGTCATCGCAATTTTTTTTTAAATTCCCACTACAAAAATGTAATGAGAAAAAAAACACAATAGGCATGCAGTCGTCAAGTTTCCGACAGCGAGGGAAGTACTGTCTAAACTCTTTAGACCAATTTTTTGAATTTCACGTTTTTCGATTTTTCAAAATGTTTGGATTTTACAATTTTTAAACTTTTGAATATTGCAAGTATTCGATTTTTTGAATTTTTTGTTTCTTGGCTTCTCGGTTTCTCAATGTGTAAAATTTTTCGATTTGTGCACTTTTCAACACTTTAATTTTGAGAAATTTTCCATTTTGGATTTTTTTCCATTTTTCGATGACGGACATTTCTCCATTTCTTGATCTTTTGATGTATCAATTTCTCGATTTCTTGGTTTTTTGAATTCTCAAAATCTCGATTTTCGTATTTTTGATTGTTTTTCGATTTTTCAGTTTTCCGATTTCTCGGATTTTCGTTTTTTCTATATTCGAATTTTCAGTTTGTTTCCTTTTGGATTTCTCCATTTCTCTCAATTTTTCAGATTGTCCATTCTTCTGTTCTTAAACCTTCCAATTATTTTATTTTTCGATTTTTTGATTTTTCAAGTTTCCCAATTTTTATTTAATATGTGGCCGCCTGGAAGTAGGCAACCAGTTATACATACATAATGCAGCCACCGGATTGGCAGTTACACCGCGCAAGCCTAAAGAGGAAACGCCACGGTGGAAACGTAAAACAGACTCTCTTCTTCTCCGACTACTTCCCGAGTGCAGACGTCCTCTTCTTCTCCGACCACTCACCGCGTGCAGACGTCCTCCTCTCTTCAAGATCTCCACGTGGACATACACATACAACCTTGGGCCGTGTTATCATTTTTGTAGTTGGTATTGTAAATAAACCTGTACTAAAACCGTTTCCGTTAGTAATTCGACGACAACAATTACAAATATTTTCGGATTTTTTTTTACGCATTGGTTTTTACTAAAAATTTAACTTCTCAGAGACACTGACGAGTATATTTTAATAATATCTAAATGTGCTCGCTGCGCACTCACTCTTAATACACGTTTTTAAAATATAAATAATGCGGTCTGATAAAAAAGTAAGTTGTTTAAAAAACTAATGTATCAGTTAAAAACATTTTGAAGTAAAATTTGTTGATTCTTGATACCAACTCAAACTGATTGTTGATCACTCTGTAGAATAAAACGTTGTGGAAAGTTTAAGAACAAATTATCTTGACTTTTGTTATTACTGCAACCAGTAATACACCAATTATGCATCATCATTTCCGAAACATCCTACAACAGCGGAAAATACCACCCAAATGCCAGATTTAAAAATATAATACATAATCTAACGCCTCTTTCGCTTTAATAAAGTAAACCAAGTAAATTCTGCGAAACTTGGAGCCCTAGCGCCCCCCAATTTCAAACTTCCCGCCGCCGCTCTCCCGCGTAGAGGGCGCCACTCGTAAATGTCAAAGTCAACCGTCCCGATTCGTAGAAAGCCGTGAGTTTTGACCGCTGACGTTCTGTGTGTTTTCACACTCAAAACCTCTCATTAGTGTGTTCCTTTAGTTCGTGCGTCGTCCAAATCAAAAATGGGTGTCTTAAAAACCTGTCTCTTATTCACCCTCGTCTGTCTCGTCGCCGCCGGTAAGTAAAAAAACAACAATCATGTCGGCCTCAAACAAAAAACAAAAGACATCCATCCTCGTACGTCGAACAGGAAAGTCAATAATCCATTTATCACAAATCCTCGCGCGAATCTGATTGGCTGTCGGTGGGTTTTTATCGTTTCCGGGAATTTTTGACCAAATTGGGTCATGACGTTCTAGAACCCGCGGGAGCACACCGGTGCCCCATCTCAGCGGGCCTTGGACTTCGATTAAGACGTATGTTGTGGTTGGCAGCCCTGGGGACGAAAATCGGGAAACGCACACTAGATGTAACCGAGATGGAGGTCGCTTTGTTCTTGAGGAATGTTTTTTGTGTGAATGTTGAGTCATTTCTTGGATAAAGTTATCGAAGCTGGGTTCGATTGGGTCATGTTGGTATGCACTTTCTCCGATCGTGCATGGGTGACCGGGAAGTCCCCTTTTGCTGGGTGTCGCCGGGCTGCTGTGACACTTATCTTATCAGCTTCGTCACTTTTATTTTCATTTCGGTGTTGGTTTAAACGATTCTGTGGGTTGATAAATCGATAGGAACGGCGTTGTGCAACTTTCGACGCCCAGTAAAGCGTGAATGACAGGATAGAAGACGTAACAGGAAGAGTTTTTGAGGTTCCGGTTTCGCGCGAAAAAATGTGTTGCTAATTGGTGGTTTGAAAATTATAATTGCGATAAAAGTTGCTATTGGAGATCAAGTGAGCGTTGACTTTGCCGCCTTGTCGAAACGGTGAATGTAAATGTCAAATTGACGTCACTCGTGCGGGGTTGCGGATGGACAATAAGTTCATTGAAGGTGAGCGGCAAATTTCAACAATGCGAGTTTTCAAGGGTAATGTGATGTGGAACTCATTTGGAGACAGTGTTTAAGTATAGTGATGAGGGAAGATTGCTCATTTCCTTTGGGTTGTTGAAAATGGGTCTGTGAAGGTTTTAAAAAATAAAATTTAAATTTGTTGAAAGTTTTATTGGTGTTTTTTATGCACAACCTCCTGATTAAAATCCCCAGACATGTGTCAAACATGGACGTATGTTTTTGTTTACTTTTATAATTCATAATATATAAGTGATACAGGTTAGTGTAAAAATAAAAATAGAGTGTAGATTTGTAGTAAAACCTGTATTTTAGTATGTGTTTACAAAATAAATTATACGAGTTTTTCATTCATAACCAAAATAGATTAAAATAATTATTATTGATACTAGTTTTGTGACCCAAAAATCTCTGGAATATACAGGACATTGCTTCCGACGATTATTACGTCATGGCTTACAGATTGTGGAGTTGATTTGCTCGCTGTAAAAAAATGGTTGAAGGTTAATTGGACAGAACTTCCCTCGCTCTTGAAGTAAAATCCAATATATCCCACTTCTTTGAAAAATTATAAAATTTGATTTTACGATTTTTGTTTTTTTAACCATATAAAATAAGCACTATTGGCGTAAATAACAACTACCAAGAATCGAAAATCGAAGAAATAGAAACATTTTCCGAAAAGTCAAAAAACTGTAAACTGAAAAATCAAGAACTCGAGAAATCAAAAAATCGAAAAGTAAAATAATGAAAAGTTCGAAAAACTGAAGAATGGAAAAAGTAGAAATCGAAAATTCAAAATATCAAAACTCGAAAAATCAAAGAATTGAAAAAATTCAAATATAGGAAAATCGAAAATTCGAAAATCGAGATTTCGAAAAATCCAAGAATCGAAATACCTATAGAAAAAACGAAATGTCGAAAATCCAAAATAGAAAAATTGAAAAGCCGGAAAGTCGAAAAATGTAAAATTAAAATATCGAAAAATTTAAAAATCCAAAACTGGTGAAAATTCCCAACATTGAAGGTTGAGACATCGAAAACTTGAAAAATCGGGAAATAGGAAAATTTTAAACATTGTGAAACCGAGAAATCGAGGAATGGAAAATTGAAAAGAAGGAAAAATCGAAAAGCTGAAAAATCAAAAGAAGAGAAATCGGAAAATCTAAAATTTAAAAAGTTAAATTGAAAAATCTCAGTGCAGAAAAATTGGGAAACCGAAAAATTGGATAATGGAAACAGCAAAAATTGGAAAATCGAGAAATCTAAAAATCGAAAAGGGAACAAATCAAAAGTTCGATGAGTTTTTCTTCGAAAGAAGAAAATTCGAAAATCGAAATTTCAAAAATCCAAAACTCGAAATATGGAAAAAATCGAAAAACTGGAAAATCAGAAAATCTAAAATTTTAAATCAGAAATTAAAAAATCCCAATGCAGAAAAATTGGGAAATCGAAAAATCGAAAAGGAAACAAATCCAAAATTTAATGGATCAAATATTCGAAAAAAGAAAATCCGAGAAATCGGAAACCAAAAGTCGAAAGACTGAAAAAACGAAAAACTGAAAAATAGGAATAGGAAAAACAAAAATTTTAAAAATCAAAAATTGAATAATCGCACAACTGAAATGCAGAATAATTGGGAAATCGAAAAATTGAAAAATCCAAAAAATGGTGAAAAGTTTCCAAGCTTGAAGTGTTGAAAAGTTGAGAAAACGAAAACTTGAAAAAATCGGGAAATGGGAAAATTTTAAACATTGTGAAACCGAGAAATCGAGGAATGGAAAATTGAAAAGAAGGAAAAATCGAAAAGTTGAAAAATCAAAAGAAGAGAAATCGGAAAATCTAAAATTTAAAAAGTTAAATTGAAAAATCACAGTGCAGAAAAATTGGGAAACCGAAAAATTGGATAATGGAAACATCAAAAATTGGAAAATCGAGAAATCAAACAATCGAAAAGGAAACAAATCAAAAGTTCGATGAGTCAAATATTCCAAAGAAGAAAATCCGAGAAGTCGGAAAACCAAACTCGAAATATAGAAAAAACGAAAAATCGAAAAACTCGAAAATCAGAAAATCTAAAATTTTAAAAATCAAAAATTGAAAAATCTAAAATTGAATAATCCCAAAACTGAAATGCTGAAAAATTTCCAAGCTTGAAGTGTTGAAAAGTTGAGAAATCGAAAACTTGAAAAACCGGTAAATTGGAAAATTTTAAACATTGTGAAACCGAGAACTGGAAAATTCGAATAATGGAAAATTTAAAAGAACGAACAATCAAACTGAAAAATCAAAAAAGCGAAATCGGAAAGTCTAAAATTTAAAAAATCAGAAATTAAAAAATCCCAATGCGGAAAAATTGGGAAACCGAAAAATCGAAAAGGAAACAAATCCAAAGTTTAATGAATCAAATATTCGAAAAAAGAAAATCCGAGAAATCGGAAACCAAAAGTCGAAAGACTGAAAAAACGAAAAACTGAAAAATAGGAATAGGAAAAACAAAAATTTTAAAAATCAAAAATTGAATAATCCCACAACTGAAATGCAGAATAATTGGGAAATCGAAAAATTGAAAAATCCAAAAAATGGTGAAAAGTTTCCAAGCTTGAAGTGTTGAAAAGTTGAGAAAACGAAAACTTGAAAAAATCGGGAAATGGGAAAATTTTAAGCATTGTGAAACCGAGAAATCGATAAATTGAAAAATCTAGAAATTGAATAATCCCAAATCTGAAATGCAGAAAAACTGGGAAATTGAAAAATTGAGAAATCCAAAAATGTTGAAAAATTTCCAAGATTGAAATGTTGAAAAGTTGAGAAATTTAAAACTTGAAAAATCGGGAAGTAGGAAACTTTTAAACATTGTGAAACCGAGACATGGAAAATTCGAATAGTAGAAAATTTAAAAGAACGAAAAATCGAAAAACTAAAAACTCAAACAAAAGGAAACATCAAAAACTGGAAAATCGAAGAACCAAAACATCGATCAATTGAAAAATGGAAATATCGAGAAATCGAAACATCAAAAGATCGAGAAATCGAAAAGGAAACAAATCGAAAGTTCACTGAATCAAATATTTGAAAAAAGAAAATCCGGGAAAAATATAGAAAAAACGAAAAATCGAAAAACTGAAAAATCAGAAAAATAAAAATGGGAAAATCTAAAATTTTAAAAATCAAAAATTGAAAAATCCCAAAACTGAAATACAGAGAAATTGGGAAACCGAAAAATTGAAGAATCAAAACATCAAACAATTGGAAAATCGAGAAATCGAAATAACAATCAATTGGAAAATTGACACATCGAGAAATCGAAAATTCGAAAATCCTGATCTCGAAATATAGAAAAAACAAAATATCGAAAGTCGAAAAATCAAAAAAGGAAAAAATTGAAAAATCGAAAATTCGAAATTCCAAAAATTGAAAATTTAAAACGTCGAAAAGTTGAAAAATCAAAAAATCGAGAAATCGAAACATCAAATGATTGGGAAATTGAAAACAATTGAAGGAAATTAGTCGGGAAGCCGAGAAATTGACAAACCGAAAAATCTAAAATTAAAATCTCGAAAAATTTAAAAATCCAGAAATGGAAAAATTTCCAAAATTGAAGTGTCGAAAAATTTAGAAATCGAAAACTTAAAAAATTGGGAAATAGGAGATTTTTAAACATTTTGAAACCGAGAAGTCGAAACATTGAAAAATCGAAAAACCGGAAAATAAAGAGAACTCGAGAAATCGAAAAAATTAGGAAATCGAATCATCAAAAAATTGGAATAAAACAAAACTTGGATGAATCAAATATTTGAAAAGAGAAAGTTCGGGAAATTGAAAAACCGAAAATTCCGAAATCAAGATTTCAAAAATCCAATCGAAATATAGAAAAAAACGAAATATCGAAGGTCAAAAAGTCGAAAAATCAAAAATTCGAAAAATGGAAAAATCGAAATTTTGAAAATATAAAATTTGAAACAACGTTGAGTCGAAAAGTAAAAAAACTGAGAAATCAAAACATCGAACAATTGGAAAGTTGAAACATCGGGAAATCGAAAAGTTGAAAAGTTAAAAATCGAAATCTCGACAGAGAAATCGAAAAATTTAAAAATCGAAAAACTGAAAAATTTTTGGAATTGAAACAACGAGAAATCGAAACATCAAAAGATCGAAAAATCGAAAAGAAA